TTTACAGAAATTATTTTGGATTATCAATTTACAAATAAACGGTCTTTAAATGGGTTTTTTTTTTTTTTGTTACAATCAACCCCCTAGACCGAGATGGTTGATTATTGTTGATTGTAACATATAATCATTTAAACATCGTTTATGTATAAATGAAAATTAAATGTGTCTTCTGTTAGAACGTCCTTATTTTAGAGCTTATTTATACGGGGAAGAAACATTTTCCTAAAATGTTAAAACCTTTTTTCAGCTTGCTTTTCGAGTAATATATTTAGAACATCAATTTCCACATACTTTTGTATGATGAAACAAACAACAAAAAACGATAAAATATCCATTTTTTTACAAGAATCCTTACAAACAAATAAAGGTTATTGTTACAAGAATCCTTACAAGAATCCTTACGGGAAAACAAACAAACAGCCTCCTTACAAGAATCCTCATTCACCTATATCCATTTTTTTACAAAAAAAAAATTCTAAAAGAGTTCAACAATAAAAGCAACAGTTGAAATTACAAGAATCCTCATTCACCGATATCCATTTTTTTAAACAAAAAAAGAAATTCTAGAAAAGTTCAACAGTAAAAACAACAGTTGTGCAATGGTATTTGGTATTTCAAATTCTAAAGTCGTGGAGCGCTTAAGTTTAGTAGTAAAAATTCCAAATTCTTACTTTAATCTAGGAATTAACTTTTTCTGATTTTATTTCTGCCAACTCTGAAACCCATAAATTTCAGAAATATTGATGTTCGTATAGACTTTTAAGTAACAGGAAATATTTTCTCAGAAGAATAAAACTCAACTATAAAACTAGTGGTTTCAATAATGATCCTACAAGAGGGATCGATGTTTTCGTTGAACTTTTAGATGACAGGTTCTTTTTTTTTCAAGAATAAGAGATAGTTCAATAGAGCTTATTGTTATTTATCAAAATATAATTGTAGTCGTAGTTAATTATTTTATCGCTGATGTAATATTTTTACAATTATAATTGTAAGAGGGGTTTTATTGTTTACAAAAATAACTAACAGTCAAATTAATTATAGTTTAGTCTTAAAAGAAAGTGATCTATTTTTGTAATTGTAAGAGCAAGTGTGAAGCATAGTGTAGGTTTTTTTAACCCAAACCGGAATCGAACTCAAGACCATGTGAGCCATATTTAAGCCGTATTGAAACTTCCCAACTGTACAGGTCATACGCGGTAGATAGAAACATATTATAGTTATAGTCGCAACTATTTGTTTTGATACAGTTGTCGTGTTTTCACAATTAAAATTTAAAATAAATATTTTGAATAAATAATTTGCAACGAGGTCACCGGTAAGTTATAAACAAAATAATGTAACTATAGAAAGAGAAAACCACCAATTATAGTTTTTGCGACTGTATCTACAAGGAGGTGCCGATTAGAAGGAAAACAAATTATGTAACTACAACTATTGACACATTTTTGCAAATTCTGCATTTCCAAGTTCCACTTGTAACGCTTGTGTGACCTTAAGCTAGTTTTCGTTGTGGACGCTGTGCTTGTCAGGTTCAATTTGAATTACTGGGGCCTCACACGTTGGGCCGGTCCTGACCACTAGCCCAAACCCAAGCAATAATGGGCCATTAATTCGTTGTTGAAGTAGAGTTGCGAAATAATTTATGGTGATTTGTTCTTAAACCCGTCCACTTTCAAAATGTCAACCTAAGCCCAAAATACCAAAGGCAATTGCTTGTGAATTGAAATGAGCGTACTTAAAAGCCTCAATATTCGTTGGTTGCTTGAAGAATCTCATTAGGTCGACATCGTTTCGGCCTCTTGGCT